TTTGCATGAAATGTTCCCTTGGTATCTCTAATTTTCTTGAAGAGATCTCTAGTCTTTCCCATTCTGTTGTTTTCCTCTATTTCTTTGCATTGATCACTGAGGAAGGCTTTCTTATCTCTCCTGGCTATTCTTTGGAACTCTGATTCAAATGGGAATATCTTTCCTTTTCACTTCTCTTCTTTTCACAGCTATTTGTAAGGCCTCCTCAGACAACCATTTTGCCATTTTTCATTTCTTTTCCATGGGGATGGTCTTTACATCTCTTTATTTATTTTACAACTACAAGTTTGTTCCTATTAGTCCCTCTCAACTATTTTGCCCTTAACCTTTTATTTTAATTTGTTTATGAGATTAACTGGAAGATATAAGCATGGTCACTTTGCTCTAGTGAGACTGGAAGAGCAAGGAGGCAGGGAAAAAGCAAAGCAGGAACCTGCGATCAGACTCAGGTATTGACTTACCTATGCCTGCAGATGAACTGAAGTTCCATGACCCTTTAGGCAATGCCTTGCTCACCCCTCTCAGGACATTTTCCAGGCCAAAGAGCAGGTTAGTGACTGCAAAGCGCTGCTCTGATAAGGGCAGGGTTTTCAGGTCCCCGGGGGTCTCCAGCAGATCACTCATCTCCTGTATGAGCACCTGGGGTGATGGGGACACAAAGCCAGGAGCCCATGCATCTGAGAGGCCATATAAAGGTATGAGCCAGTCACAGAAAACAGACTAAAGAGACTGGGTGATACAAGTGGTACAGGATGTGATTCCCTGGGTGATTTTTGCCCCTGCAATCCAGCCTCTCAAGGTCAAGCTTTTTCATTAGTGTCAAGGATGATGTAAACCCAATATCCAGAAATAGGGAAGGGAAAGGGCATTAGTAGGTGTGCCGTGTGTTCAATAGTCACTACACTTGTCCACTTTTCCCACCCACCCTGTGGGAGAAGCAGAGCCTCAGAGAGAGCACCTTTGTTGTTGGGGTGTCCCCTTCCAGACCAAAGTTTCCCAAGGCTTCTATGGGATGCTTCCACCTGCCTCCCTTGGGTCCTGCCCTTACCCGAACAGTGTTCAGGACAGAGGCCGAACTGAAGTTTCTGCCCAGATCCTGGATTCTGTTAAAGAAGTGAGAGAGCGCCTGGGGGAGAAGACAAGGTGGTCAGAAAGTCTCATGTGAGTGTGGGAGCTTGGGGGAAATGAACGGGCTTTGCGGAGAGATTTCCTGCTGCCTGTTCCTTTGGGGCCACTCACCTGGCTCTTGATTCCAGGGGGAGCAGTCCAGGTGGGGAAGCGGATCTCTGCAGGGGACAGGGGAGCAGTTCATTAGGTGCGGCAGCGTCTGTGTTTGCTGTGGGCGGGTCTTAGATCAGGGCAGGACAGTTACCTTTGCAGATGGTGGTCATTTGCTTATCCTGGATTCCAGGTTTGGGCGCCCAGCCTTGGCGGCAGTGGCATGTGTATGAACCCACAGTGTTGACGCAGACGGTGGAGTTGTCACACTGATGCTTCCCGGAGCTGCACTCGTCCACATCTGGGGACACAAAGAAGGGAGTCAGGCTCTGCCCCAGTCTGATGAGGTTCCTCTCCTCACTGTGCCCCCTTACTTTCCAATTAGTGCTTCATTCCTCCCAGGAGGTGATGCCACCTCCTGGAATCAAGGACAGCACATCCTTGAGTAGTGGATGCTGTGAATATATATAGGAAGTATGTAAACAGCAGATGAGACAAGTACAGCTTGTGAAAATACTGAAATATCCTCTTTACAGCTGGTAACTAGCTGTTGCCTAGGGTCCCTGGGAGCCTTCCGCTTGGTACCCCAGCTCCTTCTCTAGGACCCCCCACCCCTCCAAGATCTTTTCACATTTAACCTCAAAATGCTTAACACCTTACACAGCAGGGGACCCCCAGTGATCTTTCTGTTTGGTTTGTGTGGGTACCAATGAGTATGTGATTAGATGTTTTGAGTGTGGGTCTCCAAGAGTGTAGCATCTGAGCTCCAGACCTTCACAGACTGTGTTGTTTGGGCCATTGGGGGACCCAGGGATAGGCTTCCAGCCAAGGCGGCAACGGCACTCATAGCTGCCCACGAAGTTGAAGCAGTGGGTGGAGCTGTGGCATGGGTTTCTCCCAGAGGTGCATTCATTCACATCTGAGGAAAAAGCCAGAAGACCAGAACTAACCCCCTTCACTCACTGCACCCATTCTTCATACCCCTTCTCAGATTTCTTAGCGCTGCTCTCTGAGGACACCCTGTCTCTGTAAGCTACCTGGCCTGCTGGGATACAAATGTGTGATGGCATTTCCTAATGTAAAATTTCCATAAGCTCAGATCCTCCCCGCAGGGTGGACAGGGCACAACTTTGTGGGTGCAGGTGTGATCCCAGACCAAGCTGAGTCCCTTCACGTCTGGTGCAGGAGGCTCTGTGGGGGCACCTGTGATGAGCTTCTAACCAGGGAGGCTGTAGCACTGATCACAACCCACGGGTGATGCGGTGGGTGAGGGGGAGGCACCACTGCCATCCGGAGCTGCATCCCTGCCTTCATTAGAACAGAACTCAGAGGACCAGTCCTGTCCAGCCCAGGTCCCCCAGCTCCTCACTGTCTGCACTGAGGACACACCTCTCCTCATAGTGCTGCTGCCTCTTCATTGCCAAAGCTTGTCATGGCAGCTTCCCTTAGGATGACTCCAGCTGGGACATTGTCCCTATTTTTAAGAAGAAAAATGAGGCAAAGGTAGAAACTGAGTCACGGCCACTCGTCTCCTCCATCAAAGCTCTTACTCACATTCTCTTTAGCCCTGGACTGAGGTTCCCCCTCTGAAAGCCAGAGGTGACACCTCCCTCTGATCCTATGTGACAGGTGAGGAAGGGATGAGGCCTGGGATGTTCATGGGGGTGGGGAACTCCACAAAGAAACCCCAGGCCCGGAAGGCTCTGCTCTCTCCCTGGTCTGTGGTGGGACGATTTGAGGAGGCGACCCTTGGGCAGGGCCCTGGCAGACCCTTGTGTCACAGGAACCCGAGTCTTGTCTCCTTCCTGCTTGGGGTCCCTGAGCCACCTCAGCTCCTTCCCCAGCTCCGGGCCCACCTCACCCTTTCTTCCTGGGGTTTCTACCTGTGCAATTCCTCGGGTCATTTGGGTTGAACTCCAAGCCGGGTGGGCACTGGCAGGTGTAGCTGCCCTCGGTGTTGATGCAGATGCTGCGGCCTTTACAGACTCTGGGTCTGTGCTGACATTCGTCCACATCTACAAGGGGATGGAGAGCCTTATGGATGCCTGTGGCTGTGGACAGCCTTCCGGCCTGGGTGTCATCCACGTTTCTTGGTATAGAAGCATCCAGAAGGGCCTCCCCTCTCTTCCTTGGTTAGTGGGGGCCTTCCCTCACTCATATGGAGGTATCCTATGGATGAGCATGGTGACCTGGAATTTCTGTTGTCTAGAAGTGGCCAGAAGTGGCCCAAGTTACCCAGTCTGCCATCTCTGACTCCGTGAGCCTCCCTGGGAAGCTCCCAGCTGGGATGGTGGCATCACAGCTGCCTGTGTCCCAGGCTAAAGATTTGGAAAAAGGCCTGGGTGGGTCTTCTTGGGAACCGAGTACAGCTGTGTTCCCTGAGCAGGGCCCATCTTGGCTCCCAGTGATGAACTTTGTCCTGACTTCCCCAAGGCGAATGCTGCCAGCTGAGTTCTCCTTGAATCCTGCTGACCCCGGCAGGATAGTACTTGTCCATCCATGCTAACTCTGAGACTCCAGCTCCATGGACATGGACAAAGACCCACCCCTGAGTCATGCAGCTCAAGGATGAGGCTTGTGGGCAGTTGCACAGAAAATGAGGATAATGATAAAAAGGCCAGGGCCACCCGAGCGGTGGGCACCAGGCTGTGCTGGACAGTGGGTTTGATGTCTGGCTAGTCAGCTTTAAGGCTGTGAAGGTGCCTTTATCTGATCCCCATGAAGGCGTCCCCCAGACTGGCAGGAAGTGATGAGAATCCGCAGCTGAGCAAGGCTCGTGATGGGCGAGGGCTGGCTGGCTGGAGCAGGGAGCAGGTGCTCATGGGCAAAGGGTGGCAGATGTTTCTGTCATCTTGACACTTGGCCTTCCACTAGAGATGTGGACATGTGCACACTGCTGGGTGGGGCTCAGGCTCCACCTTCTGTCCTCACATGGTCTGGGTCATTGTGCAGTCTGGGTTGACCTCCTTAGTAGAGGGTCAGACCAGAGGAAATGGTCTCTGGTGACAACCTATCATTGAGACCAGATGGAAACCTCTTCATTTACCTGATTCTTCCAGTGGGTTGGGGATTGATGTCACCCTGCCACACCCCTGACACAACATCCTCCCAGGCCCCAGTCATCAGAGCTACCTCAGGTCCATAAACTGAAATTATGGGAAAGGGTCAGGTGGAGACTTGGGTGGGGAAATAAATGGAAGCTGAGCAGTTGAGATGTTGCATCAGGGTCCCAGGAGGCATCTTCTCCAGGCAGTTGCCTGCAAGGGCAAAGAAGCCCGGGGAAAAGCGAGCAATCCCTGAAGCCTCCCCCCCCCAAAATTCCGGAAGGGGCCCAAAAAACCAACAACCACCCACGCACACAAACCACCCACAGAAGGTAGGCCCCCACACAGAACGAACAAACAAAAACAGGAAAGACAGAGAGCGGGACCAAACACAGCGGGCACCAAACACACTAAGGAGCGAAAATCACACTCCCTCTTGTGTTAAAAAAAGAAAAGACCACATGACACAGTGAGATGCTCAAAACACACAAAAGACACCCTCCACAGAGCCTCAGACTCGGGGGGAAGAGAGAGGGGGGAGACAAGAGAGACACACACAACACACCTATCAGACCCCGAAAAAAGGAAAAAAAAGAACACAGACACACACCACAGCTCCTCATAGCAGACCACACAGCACAGACAGGAAAGGAAAGAAAATGGACTGCAGCGAAGCCAGGAATGCAAAGCTGAGGAGGGCAAGACAAGACAGCCAAGCCGAGCCCAGAACAAAGCCAGCACGCAAAACAGAAGGATGCAAACCAGCAGGCGGCTCTCTCCCTGTCATCCACCTTGAGGCCTGTTGAGGTCCCCTCCCACTTCAGTCTTCTACATCTATGTCTCTGGAGGGTCTCACAACAATGAGTGAGCAGCCCGCTTAGTGCAGACACACTGAGTGGGATCAAGGATCACCACATGCAGTTGTCCAGGTTGCTCACTGCACAAGAGTATCTGGCCAATGAGGCAAATTGGGGGAAGAAAGTCAACTCAATCTCCATTCCCCAAACACACAGTAGGCCTGGAGATGAGGGACCTTTAATAATTTACTGAAGGCTCTGTCTTCTGACCAGGTCACGAGTTCAAGCACAACAGCCACCCACTGAAGCTGCTATGGGCTAGCAGAGACTCCACACAGATGCAGGACCCTCTTCCCTCCCACCAGGGAGGCTCTGCTGCCCTCTGTCTGCAGGGCAGGAGGGAAGGGACTGGGCCCAAGGTTGCTGGCTCTTCTCCCTGCAGCGGGGTGGGTCAAAGAACACTCTTCAGAGTCCTCTGAACCCTGAGTTCAGCATCCTTCTCACGTCTCACCTTCACTCTCCTTGCCTCCCCATCCGCAGTATTCAGGTCTACCCCTGTTCATGGACCCCTCTCTGGAGTCCTATCTGACCCACTTCTGACCCCCTGTCCCTTTCTCTACCTGCCTGCTCCCCCTGGAAGTGGGACAAAGCCTGGTGATGTGTGGAGGCCATGCTCCTCCTGGTCCTGGTGAAGGAGGGGATGGACCAGGACCGCTGCTCCTGAGCACCCACCCTGGGCACAGTCCCCAGGGATGCCCATCCTGGAGAGGTTGTGTTAGATCATGATGACCATAATTTAAAAGCCCAACAGCCATCATTGTTTTATGCTTTGTGACCTCATATACCTTTCAGCAATTCTATGAGGTAAACAGCATAATTCCCCCCCAACTTTTTATAGTTAGATAAGCTGGGACACAGAGATTATAGTTAAGTAAGCTGGGGCACAGAGAGAGGTGAAGTAACTTGTCCAGATCGCATAATGATCTTGACAAAGCTGCTTTTGGTTTTATTTGTGCTAGATAGGCATACCTAAAAAAGGAAACAGAAAATCACAATAATATTATCACATCTCCCATGTTAACAGTGATTTCTGAATAAGTATCCTGGCCAGTGTCACACATGCAGCTCTCAGGTGGCAAAGCCAGGACTTGGGTCCCTGGCTCGTACCATCTGCCTCTCTGTGCAGGTGGGACAGGTACCTGTAAACGGTCCCAACTCAGACCTGAGTGCTATACCTGTAACCAAGGTCCTGTCCCCTGGATGCTTCAGATATGACTCAGCATTTTGTCCCTGAAACCTCAAAAATGAGAGGCGGAAAATGCAGCATCATTCTTACCTCGACATGTGTTCTCACTCTCCTTCTGGAATATTGTTACCCCAGAAGTAGGCTCATATCCTGGGCTGCATGTGCAGTAGTATCCCCCTTCAGTGTTCTGGCAGTCTGCTGATCTTCCACATTTCACTGGTGAGGGTGGCCCACACTCATTGATGTCTAGAACACAATAGGGCAAAGGGTCACCTGCCAAAGATGTGTGTCCCCTCAAGACAGATCACCATCCCCTACCTGACTCTGCAGCACTGGGCCTGACATGTAATCCATGTCTTTTTGGAACAATTTAGGCTCTTGGGCAATACTGCTGAGTCTAGGATGCAGCTGGAACAAGCTAGCCCTGAAGCTTGTGCAGTCAGCTCTGATGTTTCTAGCCCTCTGACTGGCACCCCGGATTGGGATACAATGGGCAGTGCTGAAGTGGGGAGTGGGTAGAATTTCTGCATCTCCCTCCTCAGTCCTGAAAGGAAAAACTGAGGCTCAGACTCCAGACTCCTGAAGACCTAGCTCCTCTTCCAGAAGGTGTCCTCTCTCCACCGTCGTATCTTTTTGTTTTTCTTTTTTCTGTGCTTGACAGTTCTGAGGACAAAGCCTGAGGCACCCATTGAATACCCATGTCTCCCATGGGTACTGGGCTGTACCCCACATTCTCTGCATGTCCTGCCACCACCCCAAGTCTCCGTACCATCACAGCTCTCCAAGGGGTCTGTGAAGATCTCCCCAGAAGAAGAAATGAATCCTGGAGCGCAGCGGCAGGCAGTGCCATTGACACATGAGGATTTTGGAGGGCACCGCAGAGCACAGGCTGTGGGGTGGAAAGTGGGAATGGAGACCATCATCAGAAGTCCCAGAGAATGAAAGAAAGCTATCATCTCGGGGTCCATGGGCAGAAGAAGGGAAGGAAGCATGAATGGGGGGAAGGGAGAGGGGAAGGGGGAGAGATGATGCTATCCAAAGGGGAAAAGCTTAGAACACTCTGGGCACTTGGGTAGAAGAAACAACTTCTCTTGTTCCCAGAGAACCATTTCTGAACCTCACTTGAAAAATAAGTCTCCTCTCCTTTGTTGGTGAGAGAACCCAGACCCTGGCATGCATTCTCCACCTTCCCCCAGACTCACCTTTACTGTTCTGGGCTGTAGGTCCCATTGGAAACAGCAGCAGCACCAAGAGTCCTGGGGCAGAAAGACAGAGATGACAAAGATATTGCCTCCCGGGGAGATGGTGGTGTCCCTGCTGCCCACCACTTTCCAGCAGCCTCCCCAAGGTTCCTGGGCTTTGCACAGAACCGAGGACTCTGCCTTTCCCCTGCATCTCCTGGGACTCCCCAAGGAATCAGTTACTGACAGGCACAGCCCTCATGGAACCGCAGGTGCTAGATGTAAAGTGACAGAGTATACAGAGAGCTGATGACAAGGACACATCTTAGAAACTCCAACCTCTCCCAAATGAGGGGGCATATTTGAAGGAGGAAGAAAGTCCTCAGAGTGGGGTGCCTTTGCCCATACTCAGGTTCTTTGTCCCCTGGCAGTGGCCAAAATCTCTCTGGATTTCTCTCCAGAATGGTTTCTCTTGTTGAAGTTACATGTTTCAGGACACATAGGAAGAGAATGGATATTGCAGTTAGACAGTCCACGCTTGGAGTTAGACAGTCCAAGCCCTACCTCATGATGATGTCAGCAGGACTTGGAACCTTGGAATCAGGAGAGGGTGAAGACAGGTAGATATGAGAACTAAGGTATCTGCAGGTAGATGCAGTCTGCCCTGGATAAGTGGCGTCTCTAGGTTCAGCAGCCGTGGCTGCTGTGATTCCCTGCAGATGAGCTCCTGGCCTTTCTATAGTGCACTGAGGTCACAGCTCCTCTCCTTGATCTCAGTACAGCCCTGAAATGAATCATTGAGAGCAGTAGGCTTTGTGATATGAAACCATTATGGGTGTAAAGGATTGAAGTCTACCCTACAGTCCATACCCAGTCTGTCATCCCATCCAAGTGAGCAGATAAACCCTAAGAAAACCTCTCAGAGCTGTTTGCCTTACAGGATCTTTCTTCTTAGGCAAAGATAAGAAAGAATTCCTCTTCCAGGCGGTACTGCCATTTCAACACTGTTATGTGACAGAGGATCCTGGTGGAGAATGGATTTGAAGACCCAAGTCTGCAAACAAACTTTCACTTGGTGGCCACGTGTCTTTGGAGATGCCACCTGTCCTTTGAAGCACAATTTCCCCAATGCAAAACAAATTGTTCTTCAGTTGCTAAGTCATGTCCAACTATTTGTGGCCCCATAGGCTGCAGCACATCAGGCTCCTCTGTCCTCCACTACCTCCCAGAGTTTGCTCAAACTCACATCCATTGAGTCGATGATGCTATCTAACCATTTCCTCTTCTATTGCCCTCTTGTCCTCATGCCCTCGATTTTTCCCAGCATCAGGTTTTTTCCCAGAGTGTCAGCTCTCTGCATAAGGTAGTCTAAGTATTGGAGCTTCAGCTTCAGCATCAGTCCTTTCAATGAATATTCAGAGCTGATTTCCTTTAGAATTGACTGGTTTGATGAAATGAGTGCAATGGTAGTAATAGCATAATAGCATGAGCTTTATTACAGTTGTAGATGACTGAAGACTAATAAGGTTTAGTTTATATTATGGTTAATTTTATGTAGCAATGTGGCTGGGCCACTGTACCCACATATTTGGTCCCACACTATTCTAGACATTGCTGTGAAGGAGTTACATGAACTAGCATTATTTGGTAGGAAAAATAATTTCTTTCACCTTTATCTTATGTTGGACCATAGTTGATTAACAACGTTATGTTAGTTTCAGGTGTACATCAAAGTGATTCAGTTATATATATACATGTATCTGTTCTTTTACAAATTATTTTCCCATTTAGGCTATTACAGAATATTGAGCAGAGTTTCCTGTGCTATGCAGTAGGTTCTTGTTGATTATCTATTTTAAATATATCAGTGGGTACATATGAATCCCCAACTCCCAATCTATCTCTCATCCCCCACTTCCCCCCATAATCATAAACTTATTTTCTAAGTCAGTGAGTCTGTTTCTGAGTTAACATTTAAATCAGTAGACTCTGAATAAAGCACATTACCCTCCATAATCTGGGTGACCTCATCCAATCAGTTGAAGGCCTAAGAGGAAAAAAAAATTGACCTCTTTGAAGAAAAAAAAAAATCACTTCTGGAGGCCCTCGAACATGAGATGCAACATCAGGTCATCCTGGGTTTCCAATGTGCTGCTGGTCCTTGGGATTTTTGAACTTTCCAACCTCCACAATCTCATGAATCAGTTTCTTAAATAAAATCCTTTCTCACCTCTATAGATTCATCCTATTGGTTCTGTTCCTCTTGAGAACTTGGGCTAATACAGGTGGTAAAATTAGAAATCTTTGTTAAGTTTCACTAGGAATACATTTCACCAACTTGGGACTTTCCTGGTAGTCCAATAGGCAAGAATCTGCCTCCGAATGCAGGGGACACAGGTTCGATTCCTGGTCCAGAAGGTCCCGCATGCTGAGGAACTACTGTGCCCCGTGGGCCCCAGCTACCGAAGCCCACACACCTAGAGCCCATGCTCTGCAACGACAGGAGCCACCAGAGTTTGGAGGAGAGTGGGTTCATGTAGATGTATGGCTGAGTCCCTCTGCTGTCCACCTGAAACTGTCCTAACATTGTCAATCGGCTATGAAAAGTAAAAGTAAAAGTTGCTCAGTTGTGTCCGACTCTTTGGACCCCATGGACTATACAGTCCATGAAATTCTCCAGGCCAGATTAGTGGAGTGGGCAGCCTTTCCCTTCTCCCGGGAATCTTCCCAACCTAGGGATCAAACCCAGGTCTCCCACATTGCTTGTGATTCTTTACCAGTTGAGCCACAATGGAAGCCCAAGAATACTGGAGTGGCTAGCCTATCCCTTAATCAGCTATATGCCAATATGAAATAAGAAGCTTTTAAAAGAGAGAGTTGCCACAAAAATGAGAAGCCCGTGCACTGCAACCAAGAGGAGCCCCCATGCATGGCAAACAGAGAAAGCCCAGCACAACCAAAAATATAAATTAATTAACTAATTAAAAGTTTCACCAATTTTCTCCTTTGAGAACTTAACATAATTGAGTTAATACCCTTCTTAAATTCCTTCCCTGCTTTCCTTTGTAAAGATAGTGGGAAAACCAGAAACAAAGCAAAAGCTTCTAAAAGTAAAGAACAGAGAAAATTCTCAGACAGCTTTAGTTGTCTAACTCCATCGTTATAATCCTACTTACCTGGAAGCAAACTTAGATACCTGTTTCTCATGGTGCAGAGACCAGCAAGCCCAGCCACAGATGTCTTATCTTCCTCTGTGTCTCGGGGAGGGACTTCTGGCTTTCAGTATGACTTCTGCTTTTCACGGGGCTCTTCCGGGTGGTGGCTCTTCCGGCACTAGTGGTAAAGAACCTACCTGCCAATGCAGGAGACTGAAGATAGCTGTGTTGGGAAGACTCCCTGGAGGAGGGCATGGCCTGCTGGGAAAATCCTGTGGACAGAGGAGCCTGGCAGGCTACAGTCCATAGTGTCACAAAAGTCGGACATGACTGAAGCAACTTGGCACACACGCATGCTGCTTTTCATTATCTAACAGGAAATCACTGGTCTGGACGTTTCTTTCTCCTGTTTTGCCTGATGATTACTGCTCTGAAATTTCTAAGCATTTGCATAGCATTACTGGTATTTGTACTGCAAGACTCTTTAAAAGTGGTTTTTTTTTTTGGAGGTGTAAGTGAGTTTTTATTGGGAAGGGAAGTTGTCAACTCAAACAGCAGCAAATGAAGAGTGAATAAGGAAACTCCCTGTTGCCACAGATACAGAAGTCCTCCATCACATATATATGATACAGGAGGCATTTTAATCTGTGATCCCCCCAGCCCCAAAATGTCAAATGCTTTTCCATTCAATCTAATACTTCTGGATTCCTACTAAAAAGGAACACATTAAGAGGATGGAAAAGTTGCTTACTGAAAGGAAATCTCTGAAGAAGAGTAAGGGGAGGGAATGTAGAAATTAAGAAGTTATGTAGAACACTCTTTAATTGTAATTAGCTACATTTTCATATCTTCACAGTAATACAAAACACAGTCACTTGCAGAACTGGTTCAGATTACTTAAATACCAGATATATTTTTAGTCTTCTACATAAGTGTTTGGAAGTTACTTATGTTTGTATGAAATGAAGCTATTAATACTTTTCTACAGCAGTAACTGCACACCAGGAAGGCTAAGACAAACACAAATCAAGGAATGGAGTTTTCCCAAAGCTGCAGTGTGAAAAGACTATAAACAGCTGATTTCATACACATGAATGGGTTTCTTTGCTATAGGAAATCCAAATGGAATAAGGAATGGAGATGAGTAAAAAGGTTTCAAGGGGAAGAAAGGTGACACCCTGTATGCACTTAGTTTTCTGCCCCTTCTGCCGCATCACATTCTTCTCCTGCACTGTCTGATGTCCATAATGTGAGGCTGTCTCAGCAGCTGCATGATGAGGCTGCTGTCTTTGCACGAGTCTTCATTCAGTGTGTCAAGTTCTGCAATAGCCTCATCAAAAGCCGTTTTAGCCAGTGTGCAGGCCAGTTCTGGGTTATTGAGGATCTCATAGTAGAACACAGAAAAGTTAAGAGCCAGCCCCAGCCGGATGGGGTGTGTGGGTTGCATCTTTTACTTGCTTATATCGAAAGCCTCTTGGTAAGCTCCTTGGGAATTATCTATTGTTTGCTTCCGATCATCACCACAAGCAACTTCAGCAAGGTACCGGAAGTAATCTCCCTTCCTTTTCAGATAGAAGACCTTACTCTCTGGATTAGTTGCATTGGCTATTAAATACTTATCCAACAATTCCAGGACCATGGTGCAGATGGACCTCAGCTCGGACTCCACTTTCTCCCAGTAGTCCTTGATCAGCTGCAACTTCTTGTCCGAAGTGTCGGTCTTCTGCTCGATGCTGGAGATAACCCTCCAGGCGGACCGGCGGCCCCCGACCACGTTCTTGTAGGCCACCGAGAGCAGGTTGCGCTCTTCGTTGGACAGCTCGGCGCCCTGCTCCGTCACGGCCTTCATGCAGGTGGCCACGTCGTCGTAGCGCTCGGCCTGCTCGGCCAGCTTGGCCTTCTGGATCAGCTCCGTCTTCTCCATGGGGGCCGAGGGAGCGGACAGCGAGGTGGAGCGCGGACCCCGGGAGCTTCACATCTCCGCGGCCGCAGCGCGAATCCCCCAAAAGTGGTTTTTATATTGTTTTGATATATGAAGACCTCCTATATCAAACATGAAGACTCATTTTTTTTATTGGTCTTTTTACATGTATGAAGACCTCGGATCAGAGTGAAGATAGAATTATTTGCTATATATTAACAGATTAAAAAATTTCTTTTGTGTACACATTTTGTTTTATTGTAACCAAACAACTTGTACACTTTTAACGTTTAAAACAGCATCATCTTTCCTTTCCAGTGAAACAAAAAGAAAAGTTTAAAAATAAACAGGAGCAAAATTACAATAGATAATTTCAATTGCAAATAAGATCCTACAGGTTCTGCTGATTCTCCCATCAATTGGCAGGGCTCAAGTCATCATTAGGTGGTAATTTTATTTTGAAAGTGTCATCTTAAACTGCAAGGATTTCCATTAAACATCACAATTAAACATGCCAAAGGAAAAGCCATGTTGTCAAAATTCCCATTTAACCCACCCAAACATCCAAAAACCACCCTTTGCTAACCTTCTATAAACCCCATTTTAAATGTATTTTTTTGCCAGGACATGGAAGTAACCTAGACGCCCATCAGCAGACGAGTGGATAAGGAAGCTGTGGTACATATACACTATGGAATATTACTCAGCCATTGAAAAGAATTCATTTGAATCCGTTCTAATGAGATGGATGAAACTGGAGCCCATTATACAGAGCAAATTAAGCCAGAAAGATAAAGACCATTACAGTATACTAACACATATATATGGAATTTAGAAAGATGGTAACGAGAACCCCATATGCAAAACAGAAAAAGAGACACAGATGTACAGAACAGACTTTTGGACTCTGTGGGAAGAGGCGAGGGTNGATGGTAACGAGAACCCCATATGCAAAACAGAAAAAGAGACACAGATGTACAGAACAGACTTTTGGACTCTGTGGGAGAAGGCGAGGGTGGGATGTTTTGAGAGAACAGCATCGAAACATGTATATTATGTAGGGTGAAACAGATCACCAGTCCAGGCTGGATGCATGAGACAAGTGCTCGGGCCTGGTGCACTGGGAAGACCCAGAGGAATCGGTTGGAGAGGGAGGTGGGAGGGGGGATTGGGATGGGGAATACATGTAAATCTATGGCTGATTCATGTCAATATATGACAAAAACCACTATAATATTGTAAAGTAATTAGCCTCCAACTGATAAAAATAAATGAAAAAAAAAGTCATATGATCATCTCCATAAGATGCTGAAAATAATTGATAAGAGTCTATGTCCATCTATGGAAGTAAAATCTCTGATAAGCAAACAAGCAATAGACTTTCTGAAACTAATAAATTTATCTACAGAAAAAAAAAATATTAAAAAAAAAATTAAAAGTATTTTTTCTTTTTTTAAACAAGAGGAAGTAGACAGATACATGTTGGTAAATGCTAACTGTCCATATTCATATAGAGACACAGTGTAATCTCTAAGCCCAATATACAGAGAAGGGAGGAGAAAAGCTAGAATTCTATGCACTATGACACAGGGGCCTAGCACCCTCCAGTTTCCAGCAGAGCTAAGGGAGCAGAAGGTTTTTCTTTTTTTTTCCCCACAGAGCATGGTGGTATTGATTCCATAAAGGTTTTGTTGAGGCAGGAAGGGATAACAATGAATTTGGAACAGAAGTGGGTAGAGATTCTTTACCCCCTGAATTCTACTCAAGGTATTTTCCCCCCAAATAAGTTGTGAACCATGGTATAAAGGAGAAAAAAGACTTCGAAAACAGGGCGACTGAGCACAAGAGGAGGAAAAAAAAAAAAAAAAAAGACTGGAGCTTGCTCCCAAGGACTGGAGAAAATCAAAAAAGGTTGGAATCCATCAGTGTTCCTTTCATTAGTCATCTATCTTCTTCATCTTCCTCTCCTTCCTCCCCCTCATCTTCTTCACCTTCATCCTCATCCCCTTCTTCATCAATATCTTCCAACACTTCTTCCTCTTCATCATCATTGTCTTCTTCTCCTTCCTCTTCCTCATTATCCATGTCAGGAACCAAGTAGTACTGTAATGGATTTGGCAAATATCATCTGTGGATGACCTCTCCTAACTCATCTGCACCTGCATCAGAATGATCAGTAAACCAGGTGAAGAAGCTTTCTGGTTCCTGATGCTGTCTCTCCCTGCTGGCTTTATTCTGTGTTTGACCTGATCGTTTCATCAAATACTTTCCAGATTTCCATTTGATTTCAGTGGACTTTGAAGATGGATCACCACTCTCATTCAGATGAAATTCTTTGGAGAAAATTTTATTTTCAAAGTAAGGGTTTTCATCAAAGTAAAAATCTATTCTGTAACTTGATTTAATGTTTTCAAATTCTGTCACTTTGATTCTTGTCAAGTAATGTAGTGCCTCTTCATTCTCCTCCCCAAGCTGTGCAGACACTTGTGGATGGTTATCAAATGTTGTTACCCCAAATTTTGGGATTTTTGCCATCAATTCTGACCTCTTTTGAAAAAATGGTTGGTGGAGTTTGTTATATTGCTATTCTACTTTCAAAATCTCCTCACTGGCTTGTTCATTAAGTCTATCTCACTTTGCACTTCATCAACATGTTCACTTGCTTCTTGCTATTCTTTTTCTTCCTTCAGCAAATTTGAAGAAGCAGATGCTTCGTCTGGCCTGGAGGCAGGAATCCGCCTTGCTTTCTTTGGTTTCTTAGCTTGCGGTGGAAGTGAAGACTGGTGTTTGGGGGCCATGCTGGGAAAAAAAAGCCAAGAATCCTCCCAGAGGAGGAGAGAGGTACTGCAAGCTCAGAGAACTCAGACTTTTTTATTTTTAAGTTTTATTTTGAAATATAGATTAAGAGGAAGTTGTGAAATAGTGCCAAGCGGTCCTGTGTAATCTTCACTCATTTCCCCACAAAGATTACATTTTTATATAATGATTGTCCAATATTTAAATGAAGAAACTGACATTGGTACGATGTGTGTGTGTAATTCCATGTCATTTTCATATTTGTAGATTTCTGCAATTGTAAATGCAACCAAGATCCATCAGTATTCCAACACCACAAAGATTCCCCTCATGTCACTCCAGCATCCCTAAACCGTGGCAGGTCTAAAACTA